GACCATTGTCAGGAACATTTTAAAATATAAAAAATCATATATGATGATGATTAAACAAAACGTGTTATAAATGTTGCAAACACATTAGACAATTTTCATTTATTAAGAAATTTACTTGAATTTAGTTAAATGTTTGGTGTATAATTAAGCTTGGAGATAAGATTCTTTTGAAAATAATGCTGAAATAACGGCGTATTAGTTATTAAATTTAAATATTAATATACATTCGGATAAAAAATTGTAGACATTTTTTATTAAAACAATTAGAATAAATCAATGAAGAAAAATATTTAATAAACATAAGTCACGGGTGGTAAGGGGGCTATAAACAATAATATTATAATGATTATTGTGATTAACTTGTTACAATTATATAGTTAATTGATTAATGATCATTTGTTTGACAATTTTAATTTTTTTACGGAGGTAGAGTTAGGTTTTATATTGTTAAGAGATTACAAAAAAACTAGATGATTGATTGATTTTGAAATAAAATAAAAATTATTAATCCTTAGATATATTAGTAAAATATAATTATTTAATAAGTACCTATTTTTGTTTATGTTATTCTCCAATGAATTTTACATCAATATATGTTTTTATTTCACAGGTCTCAACTACAAATGTTTTTTCGTAATAAGTACGAGTACTACATTGCAGTGGATGGATATTTTCATGAAATGTATTGGGCATCAATGTATACAGAATATAGCCGCCCAATACACTTATGAACGAGATAAGGAGAAAACGGTAATAATATTATGATTGATTTAATATTACTGAATTTCAAAAGCAAAGAAAAATAAAGACAACAACCCACCCTTTGACAAGGGCCAACACTACAGTTGCCGAATATAATTCAATTACATGGTAGATACGGTCAGCGATATAAAAACGAGGGCAAAAACAAGAAAAAATAAGAACGTAGAAAAGCATATAATAAATATATATATATATATAAATATTTTCTCAATTCGGCCTAATGGTTTGGATGGCTCCTCTAAGGCAACAAAACAACAATAGCTGATAAAAAATATATTGTCGGGACGGGCTTGTCTCTCCAGTTGTTTCCCTCCGCAGTTATCGAGATTCAGCCCTTCGAAAAAATGATGCCCCCTATTCGGTTATTTTTATACATGTATAAAATAAAAAAAATACGAATTAGAATGGGCGATCCCTTCTCGTTCGGCCACCAGTCGGGGTTGGTTTTTTTTATCAATAGAAACTTCTCCCTTGGCGTGCATAGCGGTCACAGAGGTTAAGTAAGCCGTGCTTTCTCCTCTGCACTTCCACACAAGTTCTTTAGCTTTCGATTATTCCGCAAAATTATCCATTCAAGTTTAACCCTCCCCTTTTACCGGGATACTATTGTCAACGATTTTCTCGTGTATGATAATCTGTCAAAAGCCACAGTTTTCGAGTGTATAATCCGAGAACGATTTTCTATTACACTCGGGGTGGTTTTTTTTTCCATAAGATAAATGGTTTTCATAAATAAATAAACGTTTACCGAGASAGAAAAAAATTATTTTTTCGATTGTAATCGTTTATAGGAAATTATTGAATCTTACCATATTAGATGTATTGGTTTTCTGATTCTCTGGCTATTCCTACTATTCCTATTTATTCTTGTTTAATTATAATCAATTCTACTCAAACGTAGTTAATTCGTTTAATTGTTTAAATGTAATGATTTAATAGTATTAACTTAATTCTGCTCTAATTTTWWCTTTATTAAAAATAATTTAATGAAAAATATGATTAAATCGTTTATTATTTATAGTAACCAATAAGYTATAATGTCACTATAAAATAGTATTGATTGCATAAAACTGTGGTGGTACCTACTTAGTTTTTACACCCTAACTAATCCATGAAGTAATTGATAATATGTAATATGTGTAAGTTACATTAGTTTTTGTAGGTTTTTGTATGGCTTCACTAATGTAATTGGTACTAAAATGTTGTATGCTAATTGTTATCATGAACTATTTATTTTRTTTWTTTTTATGAAAACAATATATGAATTATCTTAATTATTTTAATTATCGATTTAAAAATAGTTTAGTCTATCTAGTGACTAGTATAAGTAGTAAATAGTAAATACTACTAATATGGTGCCATAGTGGACTGGCCAGGGGGGTTTTTGGCATTTAAACTCCCTTCCCCTATTGTGAAATTGCCCYCTAATAAATGTATTATTTATATACGAAAGGTCTAAAAAAACTTRGTTTAATTTATACTAAAATAAACCTCCTTATTTCACAATTCCGATTACAGCACTAAATAAATAGTCTAAAGTAAAACGAAAATATACAATTCTCTAAGAATCTGTTATTGTGTCATTTTTCTGCACTGCTACGGTCTAAAGTCGATTACGATTACATTTCCATCGACATCCATTAATTATATTTTGATTCACGCGTGTTTCCCCTCTCAGTATGCCGCCATCACGGATTATGTCTTACCCCGCGCTATTCACATATGGCTGGCTTTCTTTACGTGTTGAACGAGATTCAATTAGTCGTTATTCTAAGACATAAAACTCACACACATATTACACAAAAATACAACTCTCTTCATCCAATATGGAAGTAAAATTTGGCTTCTTTGCCGCGGATTTCGTGTGTTRTTCCTTCCCCAGAACAAGCGAGAATTCGACGAAGAATTTAATTTCGTGTTTGGACCCTTCYCGTGAGATATAGTATACTCTCCGTTGTATTCTTTTTCTTTCATTTTTTTGTTTTTATTTTCAATATTGAACGAAAGTTGTGTAGGTTTTATACTTTAATCTGTCTTCAAACGGTTGGTATCCAAAGGGTCTGCCATTACAACCTTCTCTTATTCCATCATTTTTTGTTTTCTATAAGATTTATTTCGTTTTGATTTTGTCTATATATTTGTCACATATTTCAAAAACGGTTTCAATCTTTGCATTAAGACACTTATA